AACCTTGACCTTTGACCCTATGAGGTTTTGTACCTCATGAGTTTATTTACCTTAGATAGGGAGTTCTCACCTGCGATTTGGTCAAAGTATTTCAACCTGTTCAGAAGATATTGCACACAAAAACCAATTTTTCATATATACGGCCTCACACGACCTTTACCTTTGACCCTATGAGGTTGTGACCTGATCAGTTTATCTACCTTTGATAGGGAGCTATCACCTCTGATTTGGTCAAAATCATTCAACCCGTTCAGGCAATTTTTGATATATATATGACCTCACACAACCTTGACCTTTGACCCTATGACATTGTGTTCCTAATCAGTTCATGTACCCTTCATAGTAATAAAATACACAGGCGAGGGTCCGACTCTCTGGAGGACGCCATGTTGGATTCTATGTTTATTTAGCTGTATTTATGGTTTTGCTGGTGGTTTTTGACTCCTTTGAAAACTGTGCAACAACACTCTTCTTCTTCTTTTTCTCGTGTGTTATTTGGCGGATGGCACTCAACATAAAAAGATGCATTTCTCAAACAATTAATGTATTGGAGCGTGAACCTGAGTCATTAATCTCATATCCTAATTTGAGAGTTACAGCTAGAGTCCAGAGGGTTTTGTTGGCTTTATGAGCATTAGTTAGTAAGGTCCTCACTTGAACAAAAAATACAGCTTGTTTGCAGTGACTTTGGTATTTACTACCCCCTATTGCCAGAAATCTACACACTTTCCCTTTAAGCACGTTGTCTCTTTAAGACTGGTCCTGGGTGACATTGGAGTTTACAGCGAGGCCGTAGAAATTCTCTGTCTGGATATTTATTGTGGAGATTAATGGACTAAAATGGGTTGCTGCACCGTGACTGTCTTCTCCTTTTTTTGGAGAGTAAAAACTATATTTTGGTTTTTAAATGCTGCCGCTGCACCGTGTTAAGAAATCATATTACTGGTTGGTTCGAAATGGGTTGAAATGTTCACATTTCTTCTTTGCTTTACATGCTGATCACTAAAGCGTGCTTTAATTAATATTGCATTTTCGTAAAACGTAAGAGCAAACAAGGGGGATTTTAATTGACAAAAATAATAAAATCAGCACATTTCCAAGCCAACTGCGGTTAACATTGGCACGTCGGCTTGAAAAATATCTCCTTTTTGCCGTAAATAACACACATTTCATAGCTGTTGTGGGTTATGTATGTGTTCATCAGTGCTTGAGAACTGTAACTTTGGGGAGCGGGTCGTAATTGTGGGCTTTTAATGCGGTGCTGTCTGTGGCGAGGTGTTGGTAGGGTCTGATCGGAGCTGCAGCCAGAGCGTTTCTCCCGACCAGCGGCTGCTGGGAGCTGGTCCACGGTGAAGCAGCCCACGCAGCCGAACGAGGGCTTCCCGGCTAAGAGCTGACCGCAGCGGCCCCGACGACCGCGGGCCAGCGACCCGAGAAATAACATGGGGAGTCTTGCTGCTGCCTGCTGTTGTTTGTTTTCCGTAGTAAATACCTGAATATGCAGAGACTCAACAGGTCATTCAGTTGTGTGGTATCATTCAGATGATCAAATGAAATGTTGCAACATTAATATCAGTTTACCTGATCTTGATCAATAATCACATTGATGAATTGGTGCATGAATAACTACAGACCCTGCTTCCTGCAGCAGCTTTTTCTGCTCTAGATTTATGATCTGCTATTTGTATATTTCAACGAAAAAGACGGAAATGGCATTAATTATTTAGATTTATTTGTGGATTTTTTTGTCGATGTTAACCCTGTTGTGTCTCAGTTCATGAAGCTGTTTTCAATGTTTCCCGCGATGCGAGCAGCTGATTGTGCAGCAGATGGCCGCGGACATGATCAATTTCGAAGTGCTAGTTCTGGATCAAGAGAAAGCCTGCTGTGCTGTGCCGATGATTTTATTTTGCGAGGATGGATTGAGGAAGGGGGACACACATGCTTAAATATCGACTGTCGGCAATAATCAGATTCATACTCATAAAATACTTGTTTACATGTTTGTGTGTGTGTGTGTGTGTGTGTGTGTGTGTGTGTGTGTGTGTGTGTGTGTGTGTGTGTGTGTGTGTGTGTGTGTGTGTGTGTGTGTGTGTGTGACTCTGCCCACTAATCCGTTACGTATTTTGTTTCTTGTTGACATAAATACAAAAATTATGCAAAAGAAAAGAAGTGAAATAATGTACAAAACTAAAGTGTATGATCGAGTATCGAACCCGCGACCTTCACCATTGCAGGCGAACGCGTTAGTCACTAGACCACCAACACTAGGTGCTACATCTCCTCGCAAATTTATACCTTTAAAACACTATGAGTGCTGGCAGGCTTTACAGCAACGTATGTAAAATAGAGCCTTTTTTATTATTATAAACTTGTCGCTTCCGTACAAATGTGAAACAATATATCTGACGGAGATTTCTGCGGAGTTTCTGCACTTTCCTGTCAACAGAAACAGACATGCTGTCTGCCGCTGCCTTCCGCCTCCAGGCTTTTTCAGACTAATAACTGAAAACTAAAGACTGCACACGTTAACTGAACAAAGATTACAGCAATACACCACAACTTTCTCGCTACAAATATCGTCAAAACATATTTATGTGCTCAAACGATCTTAGTTTATCAAATTTTCTCTTAGAACAGCCTGAACAGAGTCCGCCATACTTTCTCTGTTTCTCAGTCCTACATGGACCAATCACATAGCTGTTCTGCATTTCTTCATTTGCATGTAAAGGCCGGATTTGCTCACTAGCTAACTAGTGAGCAGTACAGCGGTCGAACTAGTTAACATGTTACACAGAATGCCAGCCAAGTGTGTATTTATTCAAATTCCACAAATTTACTAGTTTTAGGGGCATTTTTCTGCAGCTAGTTAACTAGTGACAGTGTTTTGTGTTCACTACTTAACATGTAAGGCTCAGTTTGCCCTCTATAAGCTAGTGAGAAAAAATTATAATGCAGATATGCTCACTAGTTAACTAGTGAGTGCTTCCTGTCCCATTACAAGTGAACTAGAAAGGCCAAATATGTCAACTAGTTAACTAGTGAAGGTAAATTTGTCACTAGTTAACTAGTAAGAACACATTTTTACATAACAAGTAAACTAGATTGCTCCAAAAACAGCAACTAGTGTGCGTCTTGTGCGCACTAGTTAACTAGTGAGCATATCTGCACCTCACTAGTTAACTAGTGAGCATATCTGCACCTCACTAGTTAACTAGTGAGCAAATCCGCACCTCACTAGTTAACTAGTGAGCAAATCCGCACCTCACTAGTTAACTAGTGAGCAAATCCGCACTTCACTAGTTAACTAGTGAGCATATCTGTGCCTCACTAGTTAACTAGTGAGCAAATCCGCACATCACTAGTTAACTAGTGAGCATATCTGTGCCTCACTAGTTAACTAGTGAGCAAATCCGCACCCTACTAGTTAACTTGTTGACATTTTGGGGCCCACTAGTTAACTAGTGAGCATATCTGCACTTTACAAGTTAACTAGTGATGCTTTTTTGCACCTTACTAGTTAACTAGTGGGCGCTTTAGGGCGCACTAGTTAACTAGTGAGCAAATCTGCACCTCACTTGTTAACTAGTGAGCATATCCGCACCTTACTAGTTAACTTGTGGGCGATTTGGGGCCCACTAGTGAACTAGTGACACTTATTTTGCACCTCACTAGTTAACTAGTGGACATTTGTACCCTCTCTAGTTAACTAGTGAGCAGTTCTGCCTTCACAAGTTTACATGTAAGTGTCACACTGAAGCCACTACTAGTTCACTAGCTGAGGTTCCTCTGGCCAGCATGTTAACTTGTGTGCCGCATGCAAATGTTTGGGGTGGGATTTTACGAAATTCCGCACTGTGATTGGTTGTCATATTTTATTTTGACACAGGGAGCCAATAGAGAGTCTTAATTTGAGAAATTCTCCACCTCCTAATTAGAATTCTGCGCAACTAGCTAGCTAGTGTGAATGTAGACTTGAACTAGTTTACTAGTATACATTTATGTCCTCACTAGTTAACTAGTTTGGACAATGGATGCATCAACTAGGTAACTAGTGAGCCTGCTGCCATCAACTAGCTAGCTAGTGAGCCATTAATGGTTCACTAGTTAACTAGTGGCACTGACCTACTCCAACTAGTTAACTAGTTAGGAGTTAAGCCTTCACTAGTTAACTAGTGTGCACATTTTGGCCATCAATAGTTAACTAGTGAGACACAAAAAACCTTCAACTAGCTGACTGGTATGCACTTTGGCCTTTACTAGTTAACTAGTGAGCCATTTATGTGACAACTAGTTAACTAGTGAAGCCAAAATGTGTTCACTAGTTAACTAGTGCACATTTATGTCTACCACAAGTTAACTAGTGTGCACATTTTGGCCATCACTAGTTAACTAGTGAGACACAAAAACCTTCAACTAGCTGACTGGTATGCATTTTGGTCTTTACTAGTTAACTAGTGAGCCATTTATGTGTCAACTAGTTAACTAGTGAAGCCAAAATATGTTCACTAGTTAACTAGTGCGCATTTATGTCTACCACAAGTTAACTAGTGTGCACATTTTGACCCTCACTAGTTAACTAGTGAGACAAATACCTTCAAGTAGCTGACTGCTATGCATTTCTGCTTTTACTAGTTAACTAGTGAGCAGTTTTTGTGTCAACTAGTTAACTACTGAAGCCTAAATGTGTTCACTAGTTAACTAGTGCGCATTTCTGCTGTCACTAGTTAACTAGTGGGCACATTTTCACCCTCAATATTTAACTAGTTGACACAAACATGTCTAACTAGTTAACTAGTGGACAGAAATGGCTTACATGTTCATGACAATTCTGGCTGATATCCTGATATCAGAATAAATGCTCATTTGGCTTGCCATACACGGGTCAAGCAAAATATGAAAAAAATAAAAATATGTATAAATGCGCCCTGTGTTGTATCGTTGTTCCTACGTGCGCAGGTTGTTGAACAAGAAAAGCTGAGCCTTTTGAATTTTCTTACCAAGATGACCGTTTGTGGGGGACACAGGATTGGGCGACAGGCTCGGTGAACCTGAAAAACAGCATTTACTGAAGGTTAGTTCACAGGCATAATGTCTGTTTGACTTGTGCGTGTTGTCATGTGACTCACTTGTGTCCATACTGTGATTGAGTTGGGGATCGTTTGTTTCACCATCCTCACTCAGATAGCCTGGTGGGGGTGTTTCTGCAACATTCAAATACTGATGATGATTATGTTCAGATTATGCAGATACTGTTATCAAAACAGCACAACTTAGTTCCTTTTGTTAATTTGAACTTAAATCCAAGAGACACAGTATATCTCACCAGCAATATAGTTATTCTGAGGCTCAATGCCAGCTGGGAAATTTATATTTTCAGGGATGGATGAGCTGTAGTCGTCCAGTGGTGGAAACTCAGTAGGAATATCGGTGTGGCGTGGCACGAGGACAGGAGGCAGAACTGGATACACACAAAAGGCAAACCTCAGTTCAGCTCCTGGATTGTTAGAAGTATTCAATAAAATATGTCACTTAGCACGGGCTTCACTCACTTGGCGTCTCCACCCTCTGGTAATGGTAGGGGTTGACACACACCTCATCCTTCTTTGTGTGAAAAGCAAACTCACAGTGGTCGACGGCCCGCAGCTCATGATGGGACTGCAGGTCTGGCCAGCGCCACAAGCGGCAGTAGATCACGTGAGGAAGACCTTTTTTGTGTGAAACTTGCAGACGTCCATCTAAAGACCTGTACAAAACCAACGCCATGGAATCACTATTCATTACCTTGTCTGATGTTTTTAAATATTAGGACAAAATAATTACTGGATGGCTGACTAGCTTTTACAGTTGCTTTGTTACCATTTGAAGAGGTCATAATCCTTAATGCCTAATCCCGAAACACAGACTGGTACAAAACTTGATTAAGGATAAGACAGGCGTGGACAGTTTAAGAGCAGCTAAATTGTTTATCTATATACAAATAAAATTTTCTTCAAATTGCGTATTTTATGTGCCATTAGAGTCCATGACCTCTTTGATTTCTAAAGGTAAACTAGGCCGTTTTGGTTTGCTAGAGTTTTGTGTGTAGGGAGGGGCGGGCGCTCTATGTGACTGGCCAATCACAGAGCGTGAAGACAGTCAGTTACCCAATGAGGATTTTCCTTCAGCACGATTACAGATATTTGCGAGGTTTACTCGTTTCATGCTCGTATTCGTCAAAAATGCTTTATCCGTACCGGATACTCGTCTGAAACGAGTATCCGGCTCATCCCTAGTCCTAGTTTACATGTGTTGAAAAAAATAATAATAAAGGGTTTGACTTGAAAGTTTTGTTTCTTGCAGGTCCCTCAGAAACACACTAGAATATTTAAAACAAGTGTAATATTTTCCCACTAATTTCCAATAAATGAGATGAAAGTACACCAATAGAGTAACAAAATCACCACACGCCGTCCCGGTGACAAATAAAACAGCTGTTGTTCAGGGAAATGGCAGGCTCAGAATCTACTGAGATTGAACTCTAATCCAAACAGTGGCCCACACCCTTCTTAAAGCCTGCAGCACATTCCAAAGAACTGAGAAAATGTTTTTAAATCTGGGTTATTACCCATGTTCTGACCTCTACACTAGAACGGGGACTTCCAGTTGTGTTTTAGGGCCCTGAACTTAAAGGCTTTCTAGAAATGACAAACACACACACACACACTGATCCCCTCTGTACTATAAAGACCAAGATGGAGTCCAACTGTAAGCAATAGAAACGTGTTTCCTACTTTTACTATCTTAATTACAACAGATAACGTATGCTGGTGAAGATTCTCAGTCATCCAGGTCTCGGTAATCCAAAAGGATTCAAATGAAGGCAACTGGACTTCTGTGGTTTCTTGAAGACGTTTCGCTTCTCTTCTGATGAGCTTTGTCAATTCTGACTGGAAAATGAGAGGGTCAAGCTTATAAACTGTAGCTGTCTGTTGTTGCTTAACAAGCAGAAACTACCTTAGAATACCCCTCCTCCCTACCTCCTGATGTTGGTGTTGTTAGCATCCATTGTGTGGAAACCATTGTGCTGATTAAATGTGAGAGGGTGTGGATTAGACTAAACATCTTCAAGAAACCAAAGAAGCCCAGTTGTTTTCATTCAAACCCCATTTGGATTAACAGATAATTTAAGATTTCAATTATGCAATCTAATATATCTACTCCCAATTTATTCTTTCAGATTTCATGCTTTTTTATGTCAACACAAGCCTTTATGTCAGCATATGAGATCACCTCAAACTATTGTCTATTCTCTCTCTCTCTCTCTCTCTCTCTCTCTCTCTCTCTCTCTCTCTCTCTCTCTCTCTCTCTCTCTCTCTCTCTCTCTCTCTCTCTCTCTCTCTCTCTCTCTCTCTCTCTCTCTCTCTCTCTCTCTCTCTCTCTCTCTCTCTCTCTCTCTCTCTCTCTCTCTCTCTCTCTCTCTCTCTCACACACACACACACACACACACACACACACACACACACACACACACACACACACACACACGAACTGTGGATATGCAGCGATGGATGAGCAGCAGATACCACTTCAGGAGGTGCTTATAGACACCGAACAACTGCTCAGACACGAGACAAACATTAACTACTCCTGTTCACAGGATTAAATCTTTGGTCCAAAGGTTACGTGAAGCATACGTAAAGAAATAATTGTGATTCATTTTGATGTATAAATAGCTAATGACTGTGCCATTAGCTGAAAGATATAACTATATAAGCTATTGTATTTTTTACACAATTATGTAATTTGCAAATGTTTGGTAATTGTTTTGTCGATGTATGTTTTCATCAAGGGGGCTAACGCTAATGCTAATTACCACCATATATGAGCTTTGGAATAACCTGTTCGGACACCACATACTCTGTTACGTTGAACAGTTAATAATTTTTTCTATTTATATGACAGCTTAGGCTAAAACTGCTTTTAAAAATCCTTTAAGAGATAACGTTGGCTTGATGCAACTAGCAGGCTAAGCTGGTAGTTCTGTGGCTAACCTTAGCTGTCATTAGCATTTGCATGGTTAGCTTCCCCCACCAAAGCCCTGTTTGTGCTGTTTATTTACCTGGGTATGGTTAAGCATTTGGTGTTGACATTCTGCGTTGTGATGGCTTTTTCCAGCTCGTCTAACTGTCCCGTTCTCTTCAACTTCTTCACGAGGCTTTTGACAGCCTTCTCGCACCATTTCTCCTCCTGTCCGATCTGTTCTCCTTTCTTCCAGCCGAGAAGCCTCTTAACAATCGGAGGAGTGAACGGTAGTATAGACATGTTGAAACGTCAGCTAACTTCAGATGTTCTGATCTAATTTGTGGTCCAGGGTTGCACAAAGAATGGTTCCTGGAATGAAACAGCTTCTTGAACTGAACTCCCAGGTTGCTACCTGGAACTCAGCAGCAGCAGCAGCGGCTCGTGTCGCAAGTCTCTCCGGCTCAGATTGGCTGTGGGTCGGTGTGGAAGAGCAGCACCACCCCGGCCAGCCAGGCGGACTCCCCGCCTCCTCCTACACCACTCAGCTGGTCTGACGGTTTTGGCTTGCCTTAAATTTACGACGTCTTGACACACCAAACGGCGTTTTTTCGCCTTCTCTTAATTAGACTGGTTCGGAAAGTGGCGTATTGTGGTTGTTTTGGCTTGCCTTAGATACCCCCACCTGACCATCTGTACGCGATCACTGCTAGAAGGGTGAACTAAATCATTACTTTTCATTCACAAAATAAATAAAAATACTAATAAAAACAACCAAATGAACTTTTATTCTACCAAATAATCCACAATAGGTCATTTTGAATTGTCTTGTCTGAACTCAATCTTCTTTTGTGTTATACTGTAGGTCTACCTGTAAAACAAATGTTTATCCCTGTTAAACCTTTAAACATTTTCTTCTACATCATCAGGCTCAAAGAAATGGAAAAAAATGTTCTCATCAGACAGGTGTCAACACTGAAACGTGATCCAACTCTTGAATTTACTGCGTCCATGAATAGAAGGCCCCTAAAAGAAATCTCTCTTTGATCCTCTCATAAAAATGATTTCATTTCACTTGAGATGCATCTCTCCAGCAGGGCGGTAACAGACTTCAGGGGTATTTGAGATATGGTTTTATTAACAAGTGAGACCCCAGTAAACAGCAGTGTGTGCACCAATGCCATTAATAACCTCCTCCAATAACTAACCCTTCTTCATTTGGCCTATTTATAGTTACCATAAATGAATGCTGTCTATTTTAAACACATATTTGGCACAGTGTCTTACTTCCTTCCTAAATAAATAATTATCAGGGCTATTTTAGCAGTCTCATGGGAAAAGTAATCCTAAACACACCTTTATAACTTTTCCTGAACAGTCAGTGAGTATTTTTTTCTGACAAAGGCAATCGTCGTAAGATGAATATCCATCAAACATCAAGTGTTTGCCAAGGAAGCTGAAGATTTATACAGCTTTTATTGTTGTACAGATTTGCTCCAGGCCAGCTAGTTGTACTGCGATGGGAGGAAAGCTAGACAGCTGGTGTTGAGATCTTTTGTATGTGTGTGTGTGTTTGTTTGTTTGTGTGAGAAAGACGTGTAGGTCCTGTGCAGTGTGTGTGTATGTGTGTCAGACGGGGGGGGCAGATGGGCCACAGCGAGCAGGAGGGAGGTCTCAGGAACAGGGAGCAGACTGATTACGGACAAAAGGCCCGGCAGCTATCTGAATGAGCAACAACTGCAGACAATCTGATGGATAACAATGGCACTTAAAGAAGCACTCACAGACGGGTGTGGGAAACAAGTACGATGTGTCCGAAGGGCCAGATTATCTGAGCTGCTGTCACATCATCATCATATGCCTGTATAGCATCAGAGTAAATAATCTTTTGAGTGTCCATAGGGAGAGACTGCAGTGCCAGCTCCTATTTGTTACTGTAAAATTAAAAATGACTCATCTTTTACCAGTTGCAATTAAGGCTCTGCTCCAAGCAGAGTCTGTGTGATGAATGTCAGCTTCCTGTATATTATATGAGTTAGAAAAGTGTGCATAGGTAACATTTGCCCACCACTAACATGTAGTTACTGAACAGCTGATTGCAGTGTGTTGGAACTGCATGGTGTTTTACCACTGCCACATGTGGGTGGGGTTCAGCTCCCACTACAATCTCTGCCCCCTTTTTAATCCCCTTTTACTCTGCAAGCCGTTATCTGGTGCCATCAGTCCCTCCCCAGACAGTGGCACCTCCAAATCTGGGGTGGTAGTAACATTCCCTCGCATTCTCCCTCCCTCTGGTCCCAACCAAGATAAGATCAAATCTTTCCTGTGGAAAATCACACCCTCCTCTAAAGCTGAAGGCTCCTTTTCAATAAAGCCTTTTAAAATTAGCATATTTTACTGATTAATGGGTATGTGTTTTACACGGTCAATAAAACCTTAACAAGAAAGCAAGAACGCAATCAGCATTTACTTAATAAATTATTATCATCTGCCTCCATCAGTAAAAAATTACGTTTTTACAGCTCAATAAAATTAAACAGAATCGTCAAATAAAACAAATTATTATTTCATATTTATGCTGCAAAATGTGAATCGAGATCTTTAAACTTCAGCTCTAAACCTACTCATTTTTTTATTTTACCACCATAAACTGATATTAATCTGCTCATACTGGCAATTATTTCATTCTTGCATGATCACAAGCTTTATGCCACTATTGCATTATTTATTTCAGTTTTTTTTCAGCTACTGTTTCTTATCTTTATGCAACAGCCAAGGCTAAATATTCCAATGTTCATCATTTTAAAGTTATTTTCACTTTTGAAGAGCTTCTCATAACCTTGTGTTTTATAGTCCTGACCCAAACTTTGGAAATCCATTAATAATGTATTATGCACCCTAATAATGATATAAAAACAAATAAAACAATAACATTAAAACACTGTATGCGATGAGAGTTTACCCTACAAGTTGTTTTATTTGCAGAAATATAAAGCAGATTATATTTAGATGTTCTGTGGTGTACCACCCCCTAGTGGCCAAACCATATTTCTGCAGCAGCTAATCCCATGTACACAGGTATGTACACAGACCGACACAGACCGTTTGCTGAATCTCAGCTCTTTGAGGAACATCAGAGACTTACCAGTGCCGACCTTTGTCCACACATTAATCTGTTAATGGAATTCTTATTAACCTGCTGGACTTTCTTTACTTAAAATAAAACATCTTTTAATTGTGCACCACTGTTGCTGTACAACATTGTTTTATTGTATTTCAGTAGATAACACATTTTTACTTGTTAGCTTCCCCCCAGTATGATCTTTGACACTGGCTTATTGTTTAGCTGGGCTTCATTTTGCGTTGCTTTTGCTCTTACTTGATGTTTTTAAATAGTGTTCAGCACCTTGGGCTTCCTTTAAGGTTGTTGAAAGTGCTAAACAAAAAGATTTGATTGATTGATTGATTGATTAGAGCCATGAATAATGTTATTGTTGCATCTGTGTTTATGATCTGAAAATATAAAATGGTCAGTTCATTTGTAAACATAATAATAATAATAAAAACTTTATTATTATTATCATTGTTATTATTATTAATAATAATGATTATGCTTCTTATTATAATAATAATAATAATAATTATTAGTAGTAGTAGTATTGTCCTCGTCATCATCATCATCATCATCATCATCGTTTATTTAACATCATGAGTGTTTTCTGTTTAGTTCCATACAGTTCATGTCCCCAGCACACTTTAATTATAATTTATTAGTGAATCAGTGCCATTACCCCTTGACTTATATGGTTTTCCCCTGAACACAATTTACATGTTTATTGTGAACAATGGGCCGTGATAGCATTACATTGATTCTGAGGCTTTAGCAAAATATCTCCTTGTTATACATATGGAAAACATGCAGCACTCGGCCATGAATCATTAACTTTACCTTGAGGCTTTCTGTTTGGCCTGAATTCAGATTTTGTTTGCAAAAGACCTCACCCTTAGTTTAAAGATTTGCCCTTGTAAGCTACAGAAGTGAGAATGATAACATTGTCTATTATTTCATTTCATTTCTGTTTTGGATTGGGATTATTTTATAACACATACATTGTCTTTGCTTTACAATCTGCTCCGCACAACAGAGTTCCACATCAGGATTCTGTCACAGCAGTACTACAATACAACTCGCTATAATCCAAAATTTGCTAAAAACACTGTGTCACTCACATCACCACCAAAACTAATGATTGTGAAATTAGTTTCAGAGCAATCAGCAGCTCCCCTGCTAAGACCCACTGTATCCATATGCATGAAATTGCTTGTGTTAATACGTGCTATGAATCGTGGGTAATGCAGTGAATAATTCTGACTGCATGCAGTAATACTTTCGTCTAATAGACATGAGATTGTTGTGAAGTTGAAGCCCTGTGGCAATATGCTTTTAAATGGCCATGTATGGGTAATTAAGCATTACTCTTGAACATGAAAACTTGCTCATTTGAAAGAGCTGCAGGCAGTGAAAAGCTCTTATTGAACTCATCACTATTTTAGGTGTTTCCTTGTAAAGTACTCTCATTAGAACGAGGTGCAGGTGGTTTACATTGCTCTTACTGTATCCCGGAAATTGTGTTATTTAATTTATTTTTCATGTTAACTCATTACATTTATAACTTTCACTCTCCTGTTGCAAAATCAGTCCACTCTCTTTTTTCAGTACAGCAGCATGTAAATAAACATGTCAAGCAGTGAGACCAGAAAATGTTGGATAATGAGATATCACTGGATTGGCTGCAGCATTGGGTTGGGATAACAGGAACAGCCCTCCAGTGGGTGAGCTTATATTGAACTGACAGAAGCGTATGTGTTAGGCTGGGTGAATTTTCGTCCTTCTGGGTGGTTCTGAAGGGAGGTGTTCCACAGGGTTCCATTCATGGACCTCTATTTTCACTGCATCTCATCTTGTTAGATGTGCCTTTTAAAACGCATAATAAATTTCACCTTTCTGCAGACGTCTGCCAGATAAATATTTTACTACGATGGAAGTCTACAGGTTCAATCCAAGTATTGATGGATCGTGAAGATGATGGGAGATCCTGGATGTCGTCAAACCTTTTGAGGTTTAACAAGAGAAAACAATAGGTAATAGTTTTCAATCCAAGAGGAAGGCAGAATGGCTATCATGTGTAGAACTGGCTGGCTGGTCATACTGTAGCGTTGTGGTTTATGCTCTTTTATGAAAGAGGAACCATTCTACATTGTAATTTGTGATATTAATTTTATTAAATTAATAACCAAATTGTATAGTTTTAAGAAGACTCAAAGGTTGTTTTCATCGATAAACTGTCAATAATATCCGTGGGTCTGTGTTTCAGTTCAATGAAGAAGCATGTTTGAGAATCAAAAGTTTTAAGTCTTCAAATTAAACTAATGATTCTGAAATTGACAAACAGGAAATAACAATCAACATTGGCAACTTTGTGGGACAATCTTTAACAGTTGATATGCTGTTCTTGATCAAATAGACCTTCTGTTGGAGGTGCTGAAGGTTGAGAGTGATAT